AGTATCACAAACTACATCCGAGTAGTGGAGGCATTGTGCTGTTGCTGCCTAAGCCTCATGGGCAAACAAGAGTTCCCTTCAAGTGGCAGAGATGTAGGGTGCTGTTATCTGCAGGGCATTGAGAAGCGTAGAAGGATTGTATTTTTTGAACACTTTTCTAATGGATTCAGCAACATTGAAGTGGTTCTGGAGGGAACTGTCCAACAGTTCCTCCCCTCAGAGGGTGAAGAAATGCCAAAAACAGGGTTTTAAAGAGAAGTGATTTCAGCAAGCAAGATCCGAAGTGCCACACTAACAAGAAAAAAAAAAAAGCATCTCTCTTGTTAACACCTAACATGCCATCTTAGCATAGGCTTTCTGAGAGACTTCATAAGTACTGGTGCCTCCCCTTAAGGCAGCATCACTATTTGAAAGATACTATATGGAATCCAATATCACAAGGTCTCTTTTTTTAGAGTTTGTAATTTGACAGTAATTGGGGACATGGTAGGAAAGAAATATTGTGTCTGGTTAATCCCTGCCATACAAGCATGTGTATTTGGAGAGCACATTTAAGGAGATAACGAACCAGGCTGGGAATCAAAGTTGTAGACTTGAAATACAACCTTCCAGCTGCTCCAAAAAGATTAGATTCAAGCAAAAGCCCAAACTCATCCTAGATAAGAAAGACTGACTTGGTGAAACATACTTGACATTTTGTTGCATCTTGAATTTTTTTTTTTTTATTCATGGATAAACTTTGTATGGAAAGGAAGAAAATAAAACTTCAAACTTAGTTATTAACAACAATGGACTTAACCTAAAAAGCGCCACTCAAACTTTGCCTCCAAGCTACTTCAGCTCTTCCCAATTCCCCTCCTCAGGAAAGTGAGGGTGGTAGAGTCTTAAAATTGATTCTGAAAACACTGGACAAAATAGCGTAGGAAATCTTAGTGATGATACAGAGAATTTCTACACGTCACAACTCAACTCATTTGCATGGAATTTTTCTGCTGAAACAAAAGTGAATACTCGGTGCTGATCCATTCTGAAAGCTTTCAGTGACTGCTAATTGTACTTTATAGACACAAAGGTCAGTCCACACCCCTCCCCCACTTTTGTAGATGTGCTTGGGTCTTCAGACCACTCAGTCCTTGTCACAATGACCAGAGAAAGCTTCAAGAGCAGCGAGCAGAGGAGTCAGTGTCGACAGAGTCAGTTAAGACCCTTGCTGGAGTAGAAGCTCTGAGTAAGATTTTTAGATTTCACTAGAGTTGGAGATGTCTCACTCCCTCAATTTCCTCTACCATCTGCTTTAGTTTCAGCTCTTTTAAATTCTTATGTCACAGCTGCAAAGTAAACAACCAGACAAGAACTGAAATGAAAATTAAAATCAAAATAAAACCCTGAAGTTTAAAAATAAACGTCAATCCCAGTTCATTTCCCCGAAGATGCAAAGGCCCATAAGTAATAACACAGCTTTACAGCAGACGGCAAGAAGTCGATTTATCTGTTTTCATGGCCAAAATCACCTTTCCAAGTTCACACAGTAACAAAATAGATGGGAGCTATTTTGGGAAACATATTTATGGCTCATAAATTGGTGCTAAATTGATTTATTCAGACAATTACAGTGTGCGATTACCACTCTAATTAAAGTTCACATCAGGCTAAGATAAGCAGTTGTTGTATTTGTGAATGTGCAATTAGAGTCTCCCTGATAATTACAGGTTTTAAAATCATACTTTTCGCCTACCAGCCTGTTTCATTCGTTATACTCGCAGGCTGAAACACTATGAAAGAGTCCATTCAGGCTGGCTCAGCTATTCGTGCCTTTATTTCTTTGGGTACACAGCCCATGTGTTTGCTTTGTGCACACCTGTGCTCCCAACTGTGGGGTCTGGTCTTAGCCCCTTTTAACATGTCTTTGTCAGGAAGTCAATGAATACCTAATCTTCAAACCCAGTGTAAAAGCCTCTTGTGGCCTACACGGTTGTCCTGAAAACTCCTAGCAGCATGTACCTGAAGAAAAAACTGGCAGCAGCAGCCTTCATGTGTTAATTACACATGCGAAGCCCATTATGCATCGAAAGGGCACCTGCTGGCAGCGAAAATGACTAGAATCTGCCCTTCCTGTGCAGTGAGTAAATTGAAGGTTCATTTCTACAGGAGATAATAGTTTTTAGATTCCATTCTGTGTATCCTCGACATGGGCATGTACTTAACATTTAAATCATCCACAGAGGAACAAACCTTCTTTAAATTTACATGTTCCCGGCTCCTAGCATTTCACTTAAAATGCTAGTTATTCCTGCTGGTTCCTTACTCAGAAGCACCGCAGAGGCTTTTCCTCAAAATGTGGGGGAAAAAAAGTCACAAAGAACAATATCATAAAGTTATTAGCATAGGCTCCAATTTCAAGACAATTATGGATACTGGCTGAAGACGCGTAAGTTCATTTAAGGCGATGAAATTACATTTTGAGCAGATGATCCGCTCTTCTCAAAAGCAGTGCTGTTGTTTAACAATCACTGGGTTTTCTGTTTTGTTTCTGTTCAAATACACCCACGGATTTGTTTTGTTGCAATCTATTTTGGCGTGGAATATCCAAAAAGAACTCAACGCAAGCAGCAGCATTTAGCAAATAAAACAGTTGAGGTCACTGATCTAAGCACACATAGATCATATTAGATCTATTTCCAATTCATTTTGCTTCAGGAATTCTGGACTGGTATTGTGTGTCACCAGTGCCTATTATATGCCAGGACGGCATATAATGTCTTCAACATTCAGTTTTGTATATCTTTCCCCCAAACAACACTCAGGCATGTTATACATGCTGGAATGGTCTGTTGTTACTGAGTAAGCACTGTTCCAACCCGAACGCATGTTAACGGAAGAACAAAGGGTAGAGACTTAAGTCTGAATTCAAAGACACATCCCACCACAGTTCTGCGGCCACGTGCTGCTTGGTATTTGTGTGAATTTATGGTAATAAGAGCATTTCTTAATTCACACCCCTCTCCAACCACAGAGAGAACATGACTTTTGGCTTTCACTATTATAACAACTAAAGGATTGGCAGTCGCTCTACTGGATGCCACAATCAGGGTTAACCAGGCACTTTTCAGCATTTATGTTTCTATTCACAGAGCCCACAATCCCGTGCTCCCTCTTGGCAGTTGCACGTCGCTCCTTGGGGGAGAAATGAACAAGGAGCGATGCAGAGCTCCAGTGAAAGAGGGCAGGGGAAGAGATTAGGAACAGCATGAAATTATCACGCAAATTTTAGGGAAGTGACAGTTTTACAAAGCCACACTGCAGAGGCTCTGCTGACAATGTAGCATTCGATGTGCTCCTGTGATTGAAGACCCTATCGTAATTCTTATGTGCAAGGGGCCATATTAAAGTTGTATGGACCACCTTTATTCTGGAACAGTCTCATTTTTGTGTTTCAGCTTCCATCAGACACTTACAACAGCAGTGTATTGATTTTTTTTTCTTACATCACCCCCAGAGCACGATATACTGTACACATGGGCATGAAAGCAGCCCCCACCCTGTAGTGCTTCACTTTAAATGAGCCTGGAATGCTTCAGGACCTGTGGTTCCCTCTTGCCACCACCACACAAACATGTCCTGGCACTCCCATGGCAGCATCCCCAAGCACATTGTGCTGCTCCCCGGCCTGGAGACAGTGCAACTGAATGTGAGCTAATTAGCTTGGGGCAGATGAATCAGCACCGTCACTTAACAGTGCCACTAGACCTATCCAAAGCCCTGTACAACCGTGGTTACATGGGTTCCAGTTTCGAAGGCAGCTCACCTGGAGCATTGCTGCATACCTGAGAATGCTGCTTTGGACCGCTGTGTAGATACAGCCTTTGGGTTCCCGAATGACATCAACCCCACCCGCACCATTGTCAGCACCATTTGGTAACCATATTGATCCTGATCCCTTTGCTCTTCTGGCTGAGACTACTTCACCCTATCCCTGTCTCAGCCTCATGTGAGCTCAAAGGTTGGGTTCTGTGTCTCCAAGTCGCCCAAGAGCAGGCTTACCCCAACAGAAGTCATCACATCCAATTTCACTTCTCAAATTTGAGGGAAGCATACTGGAATAGCATAGAAATTACAAACCAAATAAGTCACAAACAGAAAACTTTAAGACCAAGCACCATGAAATGCAGAGCTCTGAGCTGCGAGCTCAGAGCTCTGGGCTGGATGCTTACTGACACAGCATTGACGATAACCTTAAATCATTGTCCTTCCCTGCTGTTGTGGAGATGCCTGTAACAGGTGCAACTGAATCGGAGCTAAAACATCTATTTAAATGGTCCAGGCTGATACAGAATTATAATCAACACCATTTCAAAAACTAGCTCTGCCTTTCATACCACTGTCTCAAAGCTTTCTATTTGCAACTTGTTATTTGGCTAGTGATTTCTGGGCCACACCAGTATGTTTCCATCAAGCGCGAGAAGTGAAATTGATGCTCTGTGTGATGGGAAAAGGAGGGTGACAATGAGGGTGACAATTAAACCAGCACGCACAATGAAGAAAAGATGCATCTGTTCTCATACCCACATCTATTCCCCCAAATTATGAGTAAATTGTGATACCACCTTGTATACTCACCTGAACAAAAATAAAAGTCACAACAAGAAAATTAAACAGCACAAGTCAAAAACCTGAAAGCAGGAAAGTCATGGGAAATGCAAAGGAGTCTTTTCTGATGTAGCCTTTTTTGTTGGATTTTTTATTCCAAATTTCATACTAAAATAAAGTAGTAACAGTGTATTTTACAATTCCAAATTTGTATAAAGCGTTCAATGTGAACATGTTGCGTTAGACAACAGCATTGGTATGCTACAAAAACATTGTATTTGACTGACTGGATCAGCCACTTATTTAATATACGTATTTATTTTTAGATTAATGGTTGCATCATAAAAACACTTAAGCTTTAAAACGCAGAGATGCATAAAACTGTTGCATGTCTAAGTGATATACAGCCTTACCAGCAGTAGTCCAAGAGATGTGGGGGCAGAACGGGAATGTAAACGTGTTGCCAGAACATTGGGTAGAGCATAGCTGCAGACCCATGAATGCAGGCAGTTAACTGAAAGAAACAAATTAAAATCAGATCATCAGCAAGACAAAAGCTAAGCTTAAAAGAAATAGCTAGCAAAAAACCAGAAGTATCAACTGTGTTTTTGTCCCTGAATCTCTCGACTGCACAACACAAAAGTGTACTCTTAACAAAGGCCGCTGGTGGGTGAGGTAACACTGGTTTACAATGATGATTGTTGTTTGACCTAATTTTGTTAATAGCCGAGTACAATAATTCATTCAACAAACAAAACCTGAAGAGAATATTCCAAGTCTTCCACAAACAATAGAAACCAGGGAAAGAAAACAAAGGGGAGAAAAAATAGAAAAGTATTAAAGGCAGAAAAAGCTTGATCCTGGCAATTACCATCTATAAAGCAACATACCACTGTAATGAAATTATGACACAAATAGAGGGAAGAATCTGGTAGTGTCATTAGTCCGATAGGGGTGCAGGGTAACACAGCGAAAACAGCACGGGTTCCCTTAAAACAAAATCATATAAAAAACTCAGTCACTTTACCTAGAATTACCAAAGCAAGCAAGCAAAGGATAGAGTTTATCTACTTGGATGTCATGTACCGACGGTCACACTCTTACTTTAAAATTAATTCAGCTAGGCTTTAACACCGACAGAAACCAAGAATTAGAAGGACCACAAGTAGTAAAGATAAACTGTAATCAAACCATGGGAGGAGCCTCATGGGATGCTGAGGGAACAGTTCCAATATAGATTGCAATCTCATTCAAAACTTTCATTAATAATTTGGAAGAGAAGCAAGGAGGATGTTGGTGACTTTTACTGAGGACACTAATAACGTGGAATGTGTTGTGAACCCCAGTTCAAGCTCCTCCACCACCATTTTTAAGCTTGGGGATACTGATACGCGAGACATGGCGACACTTCAATTAAAATGCTCTAATTAAAGTGCCACCCTACCCCCCACCATCCCCTGGACCACGTGTAAAAGTGTCCAAAGTGATGTGAAGGAAAAGTTAGGATGAATATCAAGATGCGTCTTGGCTGAAATCTATTAGATTGTCAAGTAGTCTCCAAAACGAAGCTGGAGAAGCCCCATCAGCTGAATCATTTGCAACTGGACAGACCACTTACACTTATATTATACAACAGGGAGTCAGAGCTTGGCAAAGAACATCATCTAGGGGAACAAACAGGTCATCATATCTAATTTCAAGAATAAAACTAAGGCTTATCCTACAGCACACCAAAACCTAAGTGGCTGTCCCACAAGGCCTCCATGTTGGGGGATTCGGTCTCAACTGTGAACCTATTTCTGCCCGTGTTTTATTCCAGAACTTTAATGTACTTTCAATGCAGTTTTTGTTGGCTTGTTTTAACACATGAATAACTTTTATTACACAAGCAACAAAATCTGGTTTTAGCGTTAAAGTGGGGCTAACTGGGCATGAAGAATGGAGGCAGAGCATATATTTTAAAGCACATCTCTTTTCTTAGCCTATGGACTCAAATCTATCGCAGTCCGGGGAAAAAGCAAATCTGGATAAGCTATGACTGCAAAACAGGAACCGCTGAAACTCTCTGGAGAGAAGCTGAGGCTCTGTGTGCCTTGATGCAGCCCAAGAACCAGTGTTGCAAGAGCCCCATGAGTGGCTGTTTTATTATGGTTGCTTTTCCACCATGAAAATGAATAAAAATAGATTTTATAATTTACAACTCAAAAAAAAATAGACGGATTTTTTTCTAATTTTTTTTTAATCACTCCCAGGCTGAGACCTTTTATGCTAAGTACAAGCTCTCAGTGGACTTTTATGACCGAGATATAAATCCCTGAATTGGGAAGCCAGAACCTTACACTGTACTCTGTCACTAGACAAGAGATGTTAGAATATTTAACATTACTATAGTTAAAATAATCTACAGTAGTTACAGAACCTAATACTGTAGCCCTGTGAAAAGCATTCACAGATTTGATGGAACATGAATCATTGCCTGTTTTATGGCATTAAATATCCATCTGTCTCTGTTATTAGGGTCTCAAGCTCTCTATTTTCCAATAAATCTGCATTGAGAGTCACACACTTACTGCTGATCACAATATCACAAGGGTAAAGGAGAAAGACTACAGCAACAGCCTAAAGGAGGGGAAACACAACATTTTCTATAAATACTTTAAAATGAAGACAAGACCGTTTCTAGAAGCAAGTTCTAACTGAGATGCAAAACATTAGAAGCAATTTTCTTGTCTCTTACTAAGAGACAATGCGGGGTAGGGTGGGAGGGTCATCATTTTTGAATGACCCATAAAAAAATACTCGTGGCAACCAACACACAAGCCACACTGGATTTGGTGTACCATGGAGGAGTAATAATGCAATGGTGTCCACAGTGCTCATGCTGGCATCCCTTATTAGTATTATAAAAGGGAAAACCACTGTATGTATACCAAATAAGTTCTAATTCTTAAGAATTTCTGACAGGCCCATGGGTTAGTCTGCTGCTGTGCTCATTAAACAGACACACACACAGCCACGCCCTTTGACTATCTGGGGTTTGGCCAAAAGACTGGGTTATATTTTTCTAAAGCTATCTGTTCATCTCCATTTGCAAGTGGCATACTTGCAAATGGGGATGAACACACATAAATATGATCAAGGTTTATTTTCTGTTCCTTAATGCCAAGATGAATATATTTAAGAAAAATCACATTTAGGGGCATATTCTCAACCTGAGGCCTGGAGTTTTTGCATTTAAAGCTACTAATATTAATGGAAATTCACAGAGAGAATACACCATGCACTGAGATGAGAATACCGTTCTTCAACTAACACTTCATCTGTACTCCTTTGTATCTGTAAGTACATTTCCAGGTAGCGGGAAAAAAGAATCAGTCAATTTGAATAATTAAAACTCACTGTTGATGTATTTACAACTCTCCAAGTCCCCTTTTTTGGGACACAGAAGAAGAGCTGTAGCATCAACATTTAACCTAAATAGGCTAATGTCAAAATCTTGTTTCGAGTAATAAAAATGACACAGATCTTATCTTCAGACTAATGTTATACATTAATACTTCCCTGTAACCTTTAATACATTATGAAGTGGAATGTGAGGGCAGTTAAATCACTTGTCACTTACAAAGTTGAGCTTTTGAAATGTCACATCATATCATCAGCTACTGATTTAGTAGTTACATGGTCATATTTCCATGTAGGCTACAGCAGTACAGTTACATTTATTCTTCTGGCATAAGAAATGCAGATTTTAATCTGATGGTATTTTTGTACCTGAAAAGAATCATGAAAATTCTTGTTTTCTTGATCTACAAAAGCTCTTTTAGTTATCAGAGTGCACATAATCAAGTCAAAGGAAGGATTATGGGGGAGACAATTTCCACAAGTAATTCCTCCCCCAAAGTCTCTCTTTTAGGAAAGTGTTTTATGTTCTTTTACTCTGTATTTATTCCAAAGCTGTTCTATAAACATTTACTGCCTCTGACAAATGCATACTGGAGAGAGTTACTTCTATTAGATCCTATATGCATATTACATATGCATACATTTTAGGCAGTGTTTTAAAGGCTAACAATGAAACATGCATATTTGATTTCGTATCATCTTTAAAACATTCGATGTACAACAAAGAGGTATTGTGAATCTTTATTTTAAGTGTAAGTTAAGAAAATGAAACTATCAAAATCACACTCAGTGGGAAAATAAGAAAGTCAGTATGTGTAAAATTTGCCTGAGGTCATTAGTCATAATGAATATTCATCAGGAAGCAATTATCAATCCTATTTAATGTCTCCCAAAAATATTTTGCCCTTAAGCATTTGAATAGTCTGGGCCTGTTCACAAAAGTACTTCAGGTAGATAAATTACAGTACTGTGCAAAACAGGGGCTTGCCCTGTACGTTGGGAAACAGGATGCTAACTGCATTCCTTCTTACGTGGCATCTCTGTTACTGGAGGTTTGCCACCAGGGATGTTTTGTGTTAAATGAATTATTTGATCTCAGTGCACCATCCTCATCTAACACCGGCTTGAACAAAAGGCAGTTATGGCTCAATAGCCTCATTGATGCATGTTAGAATCAGGCTCTCCCTAAAGCTCGTCTAGGGGGCACAGAGGATAGAGATAAGCCAACTAGCTCTGAAGCTCTTCCAGTAATTTTTCTGGTTTGGGAACTGCTATGACGTTTTCCTGTACTATATTTTTAGGACAAAAACTGTTTTGGAAGCACATCAAATGAGGACATGAGGCAGTCAGCTCTTTCCCAAAGGGCCCAGGCGTAAAAGAAAATCTGTGTGGATGCCTTGCAAACCTGGTCTTTCCTGGAGACCCATCAAGTTTGAGCTTGAGCGTCCAATACAGCTTTCAAGTCTTCCTGTCCTACATTATACTGTGGTTTGCTACTAATCCCACTGCATCTTAGTGCTTTTATTTGGCAGGCTCTTGATTGCTCCTCCAAATACAGTGGCAGGCTTTCTGGCAAAGCTAATACTTACCTTAACACCGAACATTCAGCGCTCTAGGGGGGCTTTGGAGCAACAGAAATGTCACAATAGAAGGTTCCAAGAGATCAAAGGGCTCATGGCATAGATATGCAGTATCTGCAAATTAAAACTTGAAAAAGTTCCTTTAAATGCATTGTGTTCTGTTGCAACTTCATCCCATGCACAAAACTCTTCATTTTTTTTTTCTATTCAAGTTTGTTTGGTTCAGGATTTTGCCAGACAATGATGAAACAACCAAATTCAAATGATACCTGTGCATCAATGGCATGTATAAACTGAAAAATCCTAAATGAAAGAGGAAAGAATTTTGCACAATACCTCATGAGCTAAAGTTAATTTAAGATATCATAGCCACTGAAGTCAGTTTAAAGAGGTATGCTAAGGAAACACTGTCACTAGACTAAATCTGACTAATCCCTGTAATAAATTAACTTCCACTAATAATATTTATCTCCAACCAAGAGACCGTGAAAATACTCAGGAGAGTGGCTGCACTATCATGCAGGACTCGTTA